CTATTTCAATTATTTTCAATTATTTCACCTATTTCAATTACTTTCAACTATTTCATCTATTTCAATTATTTTCAATTATTTTCAATTATTTCATTTTCTGGATCCGAATGAGTTTCCGTATCAAAAATGCTGTGTCAAATACGTTTCTCGGAAAAATCGCGAGAAAAGCGAGGTTCCGAGGGTCCCCTGTCTCGTCGAAGAAGATCTCGAGACTCGGCGTCCAGCCCCGCTGACAAGATGCGCCGGCGCGCGCCGATGTTAATGCAACGAGCCATTACAGGGGCAGCACTCATTACCACGCGACCGAACGGATAAAAACCGGATGGCCGATCGATCTTGCGCGAGAAACGAGCGGTTTCGGCTGCCTGATTGCGGGCCCCGTCTGTTCCCGGAACACCTTCCCGGATCGCGTTAATGGCGCCGCGACCGCTCCCCTTCGTCGAAACGTATTAACTATTTTCGGCAGCGACGGGGAAACGGTGACGCGAACACCCGTGTCGGAGAGACCTGCGGAAATCATACGTTGCCCGTAATGACAATTTTCTAAATGGATTCTGCTCCCCTAAATCGCTCGGAATATTATCCGCCGGCCTTTCCTGCTTGATGACGGAACCACCCTTTTTCTTGCGTTCATTTTTAACGCCGGCGGAAGAAGGGAGCGGGAAAAATGCGACATTCGACGAAATTAGCTATCGTTAGCTTGCTCTAATGCTCGGATTCGCAGCGCATTATTTCTTTTTTTCTTCGTGGAACTGGCGAAGACTATGTTGAAGTTGAAATTCACACGCTCAGTATTCGATTATTTATTTTTCTACGGACTTCAGTGGCCGAATTTATCGACTTTTCGGAATGATATCGAATTTTCCTTTTAAATCAAATAGACTCATCTGAAAGTGCGTTCTTTTAGCTTTCGTTTGGGCTATTGAAGGCTTGAAAATTCCTACAGGAACAGATTTCTAAATCGATTCGAAACAGCTCCCGCAAACTCTATCATTTGTCTACCAACTTCAGCGTCGGAAGTTATCGACTTTTCAGAGTGATATCGAATTTTTCGTTTAACTGAAATAGACTCATCTTGAAGTGTGTTCTTCTAGCTTTCGTTTGGGCTATTGAAGGCTTCAAAATTCCAACAGGAACAGATTTCTAAATCGATTCGAAACAGCTCCCGCAAAGTCGATCATTTGTCTACCAACTGTAGCCTCGGAAGTTATCCACTTTTCGAAATGATATCGAGATTTCTTTTCAACTCAAATAGACTCTTCTTAAAGTGTATTCTTTCAGCTTTAATTTGAGCTGCTGAAGGTTCAAAAATTCGTACAGGGACAGATTTTTACATCGATTCGTAGTACATCCTTTAAAAGTCGATAATTTTTCTCTAGACTTCTGGTCGCGATTTACCGATTTCTCTACGTGAACTTCAATTTTCATTTCAACCAAAATGCATCTATCATCAAGTACAATCTTCCAGCTTTACTTTGAGCCTTCAAAAGTTTGAAAATTCACACGGGAACGTATGTTAAAATCGATTCGTAGCACAGCCCTCGAAATTCGATCATTTTTCTCTAAACCGCTGGTTACCGAGATTCGTCAATTTTTCTAAATAAACTCAAATTTTCCTTCAAAACCAAAATTTATTTATCACAAAGTACAATCCGAGATTCATCAATTTTCCCAAAATAATGTCGGAGAGTTCTTTCCAATCGATCAATTATTAATTCAATTATTTGCAGGAAACCCGTCAGCAGAATCCAACAATATAAATGATATTAAACTGATGTTTCCAGACGTAGTAATTTAACAGGAGACTACGAAATAATGATCGACGAGAAATCGCGGTAATACCTGTATCAAAATCACGCGCACACACGTACAAAGTCCCTGGCGGCAAGCAGCTCGCAGCACCTAGATTTTCATAAATCTCTTTGGAGGTCTACCGACGTCCGTCGGAATCAATTAAACGTGCGAAATCGTCCGTCGTGCGGAACGTAACCGGTCGGTCGGTCGGTCGGCCGGCCGATCGATCGATCGATCGAATTAAGTTCGATTCGCTGTTTATGTGGACGGATACGTTCGATCGTTTCGCGTGACCGCGGGCGCAGTGCGGCGCGGAGCGAGTACAGTTAGGGAAGATGACCCCCACGCAGATCACGCGGAAACCGATGTAACCATTACAGGCTGCTGGTGACCCGGGGGACGACGCGACGCGAGCGACGTGACCCGAAGCGATGCGACGTGACCCGAAGCGATGCGATGCGATACGATGCGACGTGAGCCCTAGCAACGCGACTCAAAGCGACGCGAGCCCTAGCAACGGGACTCGAAGCGACGCGAGCCCTAGCGACGCGAGCCCTAGCAACGCGACTCGAAGCGACGCGAGCCCTAGCAACGCGAGTCGAAGCGCCGCGAGCCCTAGCAACGGGACTCGAAGCGACGCGAGCCCTAGCGACGCGAGTCGAAGCGCCGCGAGCCCTAGCAACGCGAGCCGAAGCGCCGCGAGCCCTAGCAACGCGAGTCGAAGCGCTGCGAGCCGAAGCGCCGCGAGCCCTAGCAACGCGATTCGAAGCGACGCGAGCCCTAGCAACGCGAGTCGAAGCGCCGCGAGCCGACGCGACGCGATTCGAAGCGCCGCGAGTCGAAGCGAAGTGCCACGAGCCGTCGCGTCGGAACGCCGTCTTCCTAATCAAAGTCTCCCCGGCCGTTTTCACGGGAGACGAGGCGCGCGTTGTCCGGTTGCCCGCTACGTACCGCGGTATCACCCCGTTGCAAGCAATTACCGAGCGACGCCGGACTGGCCGTGGGTCATGTCCGATACGTCTATCACCGATGACCACGTTGAACCCTCCGATCGACTCCGGCCGATACTTTCACTGTTCGCGAGAGCTACGTAATCCCGTAATAATAATTCACGGTGTCGGCCGTCTACGCGTGTAATTACGGCCTCCGCGGAACGCCCTGGGTCATCGGTGACCCGCGCCGGCCAAGTTTGAACCGGTGTGCGATCGATCGTACGTAAGATGCCCGATTAGAAGAATGTATTGGAAAGTTGTGAAATGTTGTATAATATTGTGGAAAATTTTAAATTGTATCGTAGAATGTTGTAGAGTGCTGCAGAGTGTTGTGGAATGTCGTAGAATGTAGTGGAATGTTGTAAAGTGTTGTGGAATATTGTAGAATGTTATGGAATGTTGTAGAGTGTTATGGAATGTTGTAAAATGTTATGGAATGTTTTCGAATGTCGCGCAGCGACCGCGGGTGAAAATCTGACGAAACCTTTTCTGAGGCACTCGGCCGATACAGATCATTGCACGTTTTCACCGGCGCGGCGCGCCGCGAATCAGTCGCGATTGCAAACAAAGGTATAATCGAAGCCGAAGAGTATCCCATGTAGAATTGTCGATTGTGTCCCCTGTCGTAATGACAGAGATTACAGAGGCCCGCGGATCACCGTGGGTCACAGAAGGTATAAAGGAGAGAGAAAGAGAGAGGGAGAGCCGAGAGAGAATGCATCGGGGGGACCATTGTTCGCTAATCGCGACGGTGTCTTCGAGCGACCGTCGCAATTATGATTTTCGCTGATGATCGTGGGCACGATCTGCTCAAGCCCGCGAAAACATCGATGGAAAATTAACCGAGGGTCCATTGTCTCGAATTCCCGTTTAACGACCGCGATATCGCGATTGCCTATGGATCTCGCGCCGTGGATACCTGGGCGATCCCGACGGAGCCGATTAGAGACCGTAGCGAAATCTGCGAATAGAATCGTATCGAATCGTATCGAATTCTCGACGGTCCCCTTCGAGTGACCGCCGTAATCGCGACGATCAGTGCATCGATCGGTGATTCGGGGATTAGGAAATAGATCGAAGCGCAATCGTTCGCATCATCTTGAACTCCGAATATAACCTTTTGGTTCTCTCTCTCTCTCTTTCTCTGTCTCTCTATATATTATCTTATTTTATATTATATATTATATAATATATTATATTATAATAATTATATATATTATATTATCTATATATATATTAGAGAGAGAGAGAGAGAGAGAGAGAGAGAGGGAGAAAGAGAGAGAGAGAGCCCAAAGGTTATATTGAAGGTTACATAAGAAATGTCTCGCAATTCGAAAGTAGGGGATTCCTGACGTCATTTGTAGCAACTTTTTCCTTAGCGAAAATGCGATCCGCGGCTTCGTTTACGAGTTATCAACGAAAAACAGTGACCAATCAGAGGCGAGATCATTTGGCGCGAGACGGCCGAGCCAATGAGCGGAACTGGGCGCCGTGCGCTCGTTGACTGGGCGCCAGCCTCGCCTCGCCTCTTATTGGTCAGTGTTTTTCGTTAATAACTCGTGAACGAAGCCTCGGAGAAGATTTTCGTAAAGGAAATAGTTGCTTCAAATGATCTCAGGAACCTCCCATTTCCGGATTGCGAGACATTTTCGGGACACTCTGTATATATATTGTAGTATTATAGATATTATAAATTTTACGTTTATATTTGATATTTTGTATATATTATATATTATATATTGTATATTGTACATATTATATACTATATATTATATATTGTATATATTATATACTATGTATTATATATTGTATATTGCATATTATATATTATATACCATAAATAAAAATATTAAAAGCAAATCAAGCAAACCTATGCGAAACACGTCACCGCCGCGCATTTTTCTAACAAAAAAAAAAAGAAGAGAACCGATCCAGCGAACGTTTCGGAACCAGAATTACGCACGCGGCTGGTTTAATTTTTCTCGTTATCTCGTCCGAAACAAAAGTGTCGTCCCATTCACGGCAATTTCCTCTGTCGCACGGCAGACATCCCGTCGGCCGTTCGGTGAGTGCATTCCGATGCGAACAACTTGTTAACAAGGGGGCCGTCCGATGACTAAGAGCGCCTTAAAATACATCAACCGGCCCCGGCGAGAGAGGAAATGATTTACTGCACGAATGACAAACGTCTCTATAAAATGGAAATGTACTCACTTGTTGCCTCGTTGTGTCCTGTGTGTCACGTTTCTGAAACAGAAAAAGAAAAAAAGCTCGTTCACGGTGCTGCGGTTTCTCGTGATTCAACCGGTGGTTGCCGGCAGGGAGGGGGGAGAGAGGGTGGCACGAAAGAAAACTCTTCTAATTCGTTTTAACGATCGTCCCCCGTTCTGCTTCGATCTTTTCTACGGCCGGATATGCCGGAAGCATTTATCATTTTATTATTTTTTATTATTTATTATTTTTTTTATTATTTTATTATTTTTTATTTTATATTATTTATTATTTTTTTATTATTTTATTATTTTTTATTTTATATTATTTATTATTTATTATTTTTTATCAAATTTATTGCATTTACGTTTAAGTTTTTAGGTTTAAGTATAGTTAGGTTAAAAAGTTTCGTGGAAACGCTCCGGATCGTCGCGTTGCGACGAAACTTTTCGGAACGCGTCGTTTTGAAGTGTCGCAAATTTCTTTTCATTCTTTTAAATTTAATTTAATATAATATATTTTATTTTAATATTTTTTTTATTTTGACATAACCTGGATATAAAATTTACCATCGACGTAGCAATATATTACATAGGCGTAGGCCTATTATGATAATAAGTAATATTTCAGAAATATTTGAGAAATAATATATTTGTGATAAAACAAATAATATTTAAGAAGTATTTCAGAAATACTATTTATAATAATAAATGATATTTATAAGAAATATTTCAGAAATACTATTTATAATAATAAATAATATTTAAGAAATATTTAAGAAATACTATTGATAATAATAAATAATATTTAAGAAACAATAT